TTTCCCTCACTTTCTACACAGCCCCAGTCAGTGCATTTCCCTGAGGGCCTCCGGTCAAGCACTGTCCAATAGGCTAATTTTTGGATTAGCCACATTTTAAAAAGAAAAAGAATGAAAAGAAAACAATGAACTTACTGTTAATAATATTTTATGTAACTGAGAATATTCAAAATATTATCATCTCCACATGCATTCGGTATTAAAAAACTGTTGAGATTTTTATTCTTTGTTTTGGACTAAGTCTTCAAAATTCTGTGTGTTACACTTACAGCACATCTCAGTTCGGAACAGCTGCATTTCAAGGGTCCAGAGCCAGAGGCGGCTGGGGGCTGCTGCATTGAACAGTACAACACTAGACCCTCGGGGGCCCCAGCAACATTAACATCAAAATCAAGATGACAGTTTACAGCAACACCTGGAAGCTGGTTAAAAATGCAGAATCTCAGGCCTCAACCCAAACCTATTAATCAGACTGTACAGTTGAACAACACCCCAGGTGATTCTAATGCACATTAAAGTGTGAGAAGCACTGCTGTGGATCAAAGTTCTACCTTCCCCAAACTTTTTCTAGACCTGCAAGTCATAAGTCATCTACCATCTGCCCTCTCCACCGCCAAAAAAACAGGATGGGGACATCTTTTAATTTTGAATCCCTTTTTGGACCTTCTCAAAATTCTGCATACTTACATTGAACATAACAGCTGACGTGTACATATTGATAGAATGTTACTGCTTACAGCGCATTATAATGCTTTTTCTAATTTTGGGGCTCACCATACCCTACAGGGTAGCTCACATTATTGCCATGTTACAGATAAGAAAGATGAAGCTCAGTGAGGCTAAGAAAATTGCCCAAAGTCACAAAGTCAATAAGAAGTAAAACTGGGGCTCAAGCCCACATTTGTCAGACTCCAGGCCCCTTCCCTTTCCCCTCCACCAGGCGGATTTCCAGTCAGAAGTGAATGCAGGTCTCTGGTGTGAGAGTTATGCCATGGGTCCTACAAGCCACACTCAGCCCTATTGCCTGGGTTGAGGCCTGGACACCCAAAATCTGTCCCCCTGTTAGAATGAACAGCTTGTAAGGATATGGACAATCAAGGGTCTTGAATTCTGTCCCCCTGTTAGAATGAACAGCTTGTAAGGATATGGACAATCAAGGGTATTGAATTCTCAGTGTGTATTTACACTTTTCCCCTTCAGTTCCCCAATATTCAGTATCTATCTGCTACCACCACAGTTCACAGTATTTCTTCCTGGTTCGAGATAAATGATTCCAGGCCATAATATCTTTTCCCTTCTAAAAATAAAATACGAAAGCTACAAAGAAAAGAGTACATGACTGAGCATGTGCTTTCCCACCACCCTTTCTCCAGGGATGAAAGGTTGATCCTGTCGTTACTTTCACTTCCTAGTGGCTTAGAAGTCAGGACAATAGCTTAGACCAAGCCACCCCAGGAAAAAGAATGAACTCGAGTCCCCAGTGCTAAAGTAAACCCTCAAGACCAATGAGCAAGTTGCTGGTGTTGGTCTTACCTAGGCCCTGGATTGATCGGTCCGCTGGTGTGAGGTACAGACAGGATGCTGGCGTGGGGTGTGGAGGGTAAGGAAGTCCAGCTGTCAGCTCCAGAGAAAACTTGCAGATTATTGCTGGAGCTTTCTATCAAATTCACTTTTGGGAAATAACAACAGTTCAATTGATGGAGCATGGAAAACATAAAGATGGCGACTAATGACATTATCCTAGGTCAAAATATAACCATGGCCTGTGCCACATGTGCCAACAGTTGTTAGTCCTTTCTGAAGGCCACAGAAAGGAGGAGCTTAGGTTAATTCAGTGTCAGCCATATGTCACGTACCATTCATCTCTTAATCTTCACAACAATGACTACTCATCTCCATTTTATAGATGAGGCTCAGATAGGTGGGAGGATTTGTCCTTTATGACACAGATCTAGCTCATGTCACCACACTCACCTCCCCTTACATTTTTTTTTTTTTTTTTTTTTTGCGATTTTTGGCCCCCCCCCTTCTGGGGTC